CTGGAAAAAGCAGAAAAAATGGAATTATTAACACAGTAGTACTGAAAGGGGAGATAACAATAACAATAACAATGATGATGATAATGAAAATTGTAATAATTGTAATCATTATCATTATCATTATCATTAGTAGTAGTAACATTAGTATCATCCTTATTATCAGTATCATTATGTCTATAATAATAATACTACTACTAATAATAATAATAATAATAATAACACAATAACAATATTATTAATAGCAACAACAACAAAATAATAATGATAATAATAATATCAACAAGAACAACAATGATAAAGGTAACAGTAACAAAAATAACACAATGACATTACTGATAGGAAGGAGAAGAAACCTACAAACTAAGGAAAACCCAAAACAACAGACATGCAAATGAGCAGCACCATATGCACGAAACCCACAGGGATGCAAAACCCCCACGAAACCCGCCCGCGCCCTCCATACACCCCGCCCACGACGCCCATTCTGCCTACAAATCCTTAAAGTGATGAGTAATAACAACAACTATAATAATAATAATAATAATAATAATAATAATAATAATAATAATAATAATAATATCATTATTATTCATAGTAATAATAATAGTAACGATAACCACAAAACAACAATAATAATAATTATGATAACAATAAATATGACAATGATAACAATAATAATAACAATATTCATTATAATAATGATAATAAAAATAACAATAATAGTCATAATAATGATAACAATAATGATAATAATAATAATAACGATTATAATAATAACAATAACAATAATAATAATTATTATAATAATAACAACAATAACGATAATAATAATGATAAAATAATAATAATAATAATAATAATGATAATAACAACAATAATAATTATAATAATAAAACAAATACTAACAATGAGAACAAAGATACTAACAATAACGATTCAAATAACCAAACATTCAACCCTCCCCCCTTTCCGCAGGCCCCATATCCGCACTCCTCCCCCTCGCGAGACAATAAAATTCATAAAAACAACAAACCACCCACTTATCCGGCCTCCTCCAAACCGGACCATTTACCGGGGTTATGTGATCGACTTTCCATCCCATTAAATTACCGGCATATTGTCTCAACTTTCGAGCCCTCAGGACGCGAGAGGCTGCCGCGGCGACGTCGGCGGACAGACTGACTGCTTGAGAGAGCACGGGGGAGGGGGGGGTTCCCAACTGGCGCGGAGGAGGTCGTCTGCAATTGCTCTTTGTGTGTTATGGTCGTAATTGCAGCCGTCATTACCATAGGCTTATGTATTCTTATTGCAAGAATGTTATTAGTGCTATTATCATTGTTATTATTGATTATCACTCAATGGCACTGTTGTTATCAACATCATTATCCTTAATATTATCACTATTTTTATTCTTATTAATATTATCATTTTATCATTATTATTATTGTTATCATTGTCACTACTACTACTATTATTATATCTTTATCATCATTATCATTGTTATCATTACCATTATTAATATTAATATAATTTTCATTATCATTATTAACACTATCATTATTATTATTATTTTTATCATCATCACCATCATCATTATTATTGCTCATTATTATTATTGTTATCATTGTCACTACTACTACTATTATTATATCATTATCATCATTATCATTATTAACACTATCATTATTATTATTGTTATCATTGTCACTACTACTACTATTATTATATCATTATCATCATTATCATTATTAACACTATCATTATTATTATTATTTTTATTATCATCATCATCATCATCATCATCATCATCATCATCATCATCATCATCATCATCATCATCATCATCATCATCATCATCATCATCATCATCATCATCATCATCATCATCATCATCATCATCATCATCATCATCATCATCATCATTATCATTATTAACACTATCATTATTATTATTGTTATCATTGTCACTACTACTACTATTATTATATCATTATCATCATTATCATTATTAACACTATCATTATTATTATTGTTATCATTGTCACTACTACTACTATTATTATATCATTATCATCATTATCATTATTAACACTATCATTATTATTATTGTTATCATTGTCACTACTACTACTATTATTATATCATTATCATCATTATCATTATTAACACTATCATTATTATTATTATTTTTATTATCATCATCATCATCATCATCATCATCATCATCATCATCATCATCATTATCATTATTAACACTATCATTATTATTATTGTTATCATTGTCACTACTACTACTATTATTATATCATTATCATCATTATCATTATTAACACTATCATTATTATTATTGTTATCATTGTCACTACTACTACTATTATTATATCATTATCATCATTATCATTATTAACACTATCATTATTATTATTATTTTTATTATCATCATCATCATCATCATCATCATCATCATCATCATCATCATCATTATCATTATTAACACTATCATTATTATTATTATTTTTATTATCATCATCATCATCATCATCATCATCATCATCATCATCATCATCATCATCATCATCATCATCATCATCATCATCATCATCAATTATTGTTATTATCAAAATCATTTTCATTATCATCGTATTTTACTCTAATCATTAACATCACTACTCTAATCACCATCAGTATTATTATCATCAATATCAACATCATTATCATAACTAACCTTACCATTCACTATATCATCGTCCATTATAAAATAACATCAACATTTGCACAAAAAAAACATCAACCGCTTCACCGCCATCTTCAACCACCATAATAACCATTAACAGCAACAGCAACAGCACCCCCCCCCCCGACACACACAAAAAAAATAAAAAAAAAAAAAAAATAAAATAAAGTCAAAACACAATTACTGCGTCCACGAGAGTAACAATAATAATAACAATTCCAAGAAGTCAAACTATTCCCCGAAAAAACCTTGAAGATATTCCTGCACCTGCTCTACTAAAGTGTCTCCCCCCCCCCTATAACCCCCCCCTTTTCACTTACCCCCTCCCCACCAACCCCTCCCAGCCAAGCCCTTGTTCCTTAACCCCCCTAGCCTTTTCCCACCTACCCACTTCCCCTTTTCAACCCCTACCCTTCCCCCCCCCTGTTAATCCTTAGCCTATGCCCTCCCCTACCTCTCAACCCCTCCTCTTCCCCACCACCCATCCCCCTTTCCTCTCAACCCCTACCCCCACCCCCCCTCTTAACCCATCCCGCCCCTTTTCTCGCCTCCCCCACCTACCCAACCACATCCCTCAACCCCTCCGCTCTCCCCCTCTCCCTCAACCCCTTCTCTTTCCCCACCTATTCAGTACCCCCCCCCCCCCCCCCGATTCCCCGCAGTTGGTGTATGCAAAACGCTAAATTTCACTCACAAAGAGAGAGCTGGACGGCAGCGGCCCAAACTCGAATTCCAGGCGTTTCCATTACACTGCATCAACTTGATTTCTGTCTTCATCAACTCGCCGCAATGCCACAGTTATTTACCACCTCTTCTTCTTCTTCTTTTTCTCCTATTTCTCCCCCACCCCCACTCCTCCCTTCTTCTTCTTCCCCATCTTTTTGTGACTCTCCCTCTTTCTTCTTCCTCTTTTTTTATCTCCCTTCTCCCTCTTCCTTTCACCTTCTCCTTCTTCCTACAACTCCTCCTCCATTATCTTCATGTCCTTCCTCTCATCTCTCTTTCACTGCTTCTTTTCTCGCGTTTTTCCTCCCCCTCATATTTTTCTTATTATTTTTCCTCTCTTTCTCGCCCTTCTTCCTTTCCTACATATCCCCGTTTTTTTTTTCTTCTTCTATCCGTCCTCCTCCTCTTCTCCCCAGCCCTTGCCTTCTGGCGTTGCATACCAGACAAATATTTACTCTTTAACGATCTAATATATAAATATCTGAGACGTTTAGGTTTCTTTTTTCTTCGTCAGTTGACCACATGATCAGGAAATTATGTCTGCTGGCTATATGACGCTTTTACCTTAAACAATGATGATGTAAAACCTTTCATCTGTTGGGAATATATATGCATTTTTAAGACACGACGGAACGCAATACTTTTGTTGTTGTTTTTTCATGTGCATTCTGAATCTTTTCTTCTTTTGCCAATGAGATCAAAATACTTAACACACTGACGATAATATATATGCTTGGGTAAGAAGCTTCGAACGAGCCAACTTTCAAACCATTCGTATTGTGAGTTCGAATCTTTGCTTCAACACCAGAACGTTGTGAGAAAGAGACTTATTTAATAAGTTAGTCTTGAATGCCAGTCTATTAAAAAATAGTCTTAGTTATCTATTAATCAATTTGAAAAAAGTTCATTAAGACCTTTGGTCTGACGCTTCGTTAATTGGCCATTTGCACGGCGATATCTTAAAAATCTAGCGTTCGATTCATTCATGACTCGTGACCGAATCCCGTCATCACCTCGTTTCTGATTGGCCGATGCTTGACAGCGGATCAACGGAAACGTCACGTGTCACTTTGGATAATTGCAGGTTGCTGTTCAGGTAATGCCGTGGGACTTTCGCCTGGGAGATCAACCGACAATCAGTCGGATTGTTAAGGATCCCGTTTTCATTCAATATGTCATTTATTCAGTCAGTCCGTCCCATTCACCTACTTAAACCATCACGATTATCATTCAATGGTAAACAATGCATGGAGAAAGAAATCGAATGAGCATGAGAAGGAGAAATGTAAAAAGACGCCAACTAAGCAGGCAGATAACGAAAGCAGCCTCGGAGTCTCGTGTCTCTCTTCCGTGATCTCGTGACTGACACCTGTCTGAGCGGCGCCGCGCCATCTTGCCACACCCGTCACTTTATGGCCATTACTGGCTCGATTTATATATTATAATTTGGGCTTTTTAACTTTATGTGATGTCCATCCGTCCGCCCGTCGGTCGGTCTGATCTTTTGTCAGTCTCTACCTCCTTTTCTCTTTGTCTCCCT